TATATGTGTGTGGTAGAGAGGGTTTAGGTTTTATAATCGGGTTTAGGAGTCAGGAGGGGAGCATCCGATTCGGAACATCGCCCCAAACGCTACGAAGCCCGAAAAGACCCTAGAGCCTTACACCCCGTAGCACAATCAAATGTCTGAGCTGTCAGGCTCACCTGTATCCTAGATCAGTGTTAGGGATCCTTTTTACTTTTTGGGTTTGGGGCTTTCTTATATATGAACAAAAGGATCCTTTTTTCTTCCTAGGGGAACAGGGATTAAGTATCAGGTGGCAGACACAAACAAAACCTGCCTATTGGGCTAGCGGTCGCAAGTGCCGATGAAGCCAGTTGGCAAAGAGGAGCGGTGTGATCTCCACCCCGAAGCCCTATACCCTAGACCCGATTTCCTCCGCTCTAAAATGGGTGGCCGTCAAAATTATGTTCTTTTTTTGGATCCCGATTATCATACGGCACCTAATATTTGGGTACCCCAAAAGGGATCATGATTTTGACAACCACCCATATAAGTAGGGTCATAACTACTATGTGCTTAAGAACCCCCAGAAATAATGATCCCTATATTACCCTTATACCCTTATAAGGACGAATATTCATGAAAGCCTCATGTCCTTGCTTCGAGGCTTGTAACTCTTTTGGTGGCCCGCCAGCCTACAACTGGGGCGCGTGCCAGGCATTGGCAATGACCCGCCGAGCCTGTCGCTCAAGGAAGTGCACGTGAAGATCCCAGGACTTCAGGGATTTAGGGTGCAAATCCTGCCCCATACATCCGGTAGTAAGGAAGTGCAGCCTAAGCAGGGCACGGAAGGGCTGGATGGGCTCCAGTTGCTGCGAGGAAACAACGAGACGCTGACTTTGCCAGTCTACACCAACACCAAAGTGATTGAGGTGAAGACGCTTCTGGAGGAGTTGGTTTTGGTTTCATGACGACGTCGCTGTCTTCATTCCGCCATTAAGTCCACCATTCCCATTCCGCCACTCCGCCGTTCGAATCATCATCATCATCAGCACCATCGGCATCGTTAGCAGCGCCAGCACTGCCATCGTCATCATCATCAACATCATCACTATCATCATCATGATCATCATCGTGATCATGATTCGTGCTGCTTTTTGTCTCATCACGCGTTCCTCCGTCAGGCCTTTTTAATTTGGCTGGTACTCCTTGCCGCTACTAATGCCGCAGAAATGCTAATAGCCAGCGGCGCCAACATGTGGGGAAGGCTTGGTCCTATTCCCAACACCCACGTCTCGAAACCCCAGCAATCTCCCAAAAACCAGAACCCCGCAAAATCCTGAAGCATCCTAGCCTATATTCCCCTGAACACCCAGAACCCCGCAAAATCCTGGAGAATCGTAGACCTGGAGCGCAGCATTAGCTCAAAAGCCCCGGAAGGACCGGCTGGGGATTGATCAAGACAGGCTACGTCTTGTCTCTTGATTGCCCAGTGGTGCCCTTTTCCCTTTTTTGGGGGTTCAAGGTTCCCTTATAAAGCAACCCTAAACCCTAAACCCTAAACCCTAAACCCTAAACCCTAAACCCTAAACCCTAAACCCTAAACCCTAAACAGGGTAACCTTATTACAATATGGGTTCCTGGCGCTACCAAGGTCTACAAGGCCGGAAGCAGCTACCGCCAGCACCAGGCCTGCGAGTTGATTTGGGGGGCTTTTTTGCGATGGTTTAGGGTTTAGGGTTTAGGGTTTAGGGTTTAGGGTTTAGGGTTTAGGGTTTAGGGTTTAGGGTTTAGGGTGCAGGGTTTAGGGTTTAGGGTTTAGGGTGTTTAGGGGTGGCTTCATGGTTCGGCTACACCTGTTCTGAAGAATCTGACCACGAGGACTGTGATGAGATCGCCCGAAATGTGGCCGCCAGTCCGCACTCAGTTGTGCTAAACCCTAAACCCTAAACCCTAAACCCTAAACCCTAAACCCTAAACCCTAAACCCTAAACCCTAAACCCTAAACCCTAAACCCTAAACCCTAAACCCTAAACCCTAAACCCTAAACCCTAAACCCTAAACCGCTTGTTCGCCTTCCCTGGTGTTCTTTATGTTTGTGCGGGGGACTTGGAGACCATCAATTTGCATGCTGTTTCAAGCTATCGCCCCCCTACGGTCCCTGTTGTATCTTAGACCCACCAACTGAAGTGCCTCAGGGGGGGTGGGGGGGAGAGTTAATATAGGGGTCGGAAGAATCAAGAATAGTATTCCCTTCTGGCCCCTTCAGAATTTACTACTATAAACCCTCCCCCCAAAGCCGCTTCTAACTAAAAAGCCCCCGATATTACGGAGGTTCTTCATGGTGTCAAGTCCTTCCGCCGCGTGAAGAAAAGCTATGACCACCCTCATCTCATCATCGGCGCTGGCCACATCGGCCTGAAGTTCGCCATGACGTGGCTCTTGGAGGGCGTGACCAACTTTCTTGTGGTGGACCGCAAGGACAAGGCTGGGTACTTGATGGTTCATGGGTAGCCATGTGTAGGGCAAGGATTTTAGAAATAGGGTTATCGCCCCTAATAGCGAGTTGCCCTACTTGTGCCCCCACTTGTAACGACCCATGATCCAACATGAATCCTGGGGTTCCCCCAAGTTAGGCTACCTAATGGGGGGGCAGGTCCTCAAGGGGATTCTGTTATGTTAGAGGTGTATGTGTAAGGGTCCGCCCTAAACCTCAAACCCTAAACCCTCCCTACGTGGGAACCAAAATCTTAAAGTCGTATGCCGTCCGGAACCTTGAACCCCGAAACCCTTAAACCCCGATAGAGACGAAGTGAGACCTACAAGTCCGAGTTTCGGGTTTAGGATTTGGGGTCTTGGGTTTAGGATTTATTGGGGTTTAGGGTGCAACTCCCAACGCATGGAACTTTTCCGGGAGGCGAAGCCTAATTCCCCGCCCTGCTGTTAGCAACCACCGTGCCTCGCAAACTTTCAGCACCAGAACCTTGTACCTAAACCCTAAACCCTAAACCCTAAACCCTAAACCCTTGAGCCCCTGAACCCCGAAAGCTGCAATGTGGCGGTCAGTTTAGCTGGGCCTGTGGTAGAAATCCTAAGCACGAAGGACCCCATGCCGCAAAGCCCTACTTGTTGGAGGTTCACGAGTAGGTATAAGTAGTTTGAGAAGTACCTTAAACACTTAAAGGATCAGGAGACTTCGTAAATAGGGTTATAACTATAGGGCAACTAGAGTTGCAACTACTTATAACCCCTCCCAATTAGGGTACTTATAACCCTACGTACTAAGGCTCACGATCCTCCAAGTAAGGTTCCATCTGCAGTTGCCATACTTATATCCCTGCATCTAGCTACCCATGAACCTCCAAGTCCACCCACCTGCCCCTGTGTTGAATTCTGGGTTTAGGGTTTAGGATTGGGGTTTAGGATTAGGGTTTAGGGCTTAGGGCTTAGGGTTTAGGCTTTGGGGCTGAATCTCTGGCCCTGGCAGGTGGGGGGCACCTCGGGTGTGTGGAAACACTTTTTTTGTTTCTGCAGGCTTTGGGTTTAGGGTTCAGGGTTTAGGGTTTGGGGGTTTAGGGGTTCACGGCATACTTACCCGGCAGACTTCAGAGGCCTGGATGTAAAAGGGGTTCACGGTTTAGGGTTTACAAATTCGAGGGGACTCCGTTCTACGAAGCTACCTAGAAGGAGACTTTCGTGCGCCGTGCAGTGTGTTTTGGTTGTGCGACTGCTCCTCACTGTGGTTCACCTGAGGTCCATGCTCAAGCCTGCTGGTTTAGGGTAGTTTGGGGTTTAGGGTTTAGGGTTTAGGGTTTAGGGTTTAGGCTGGGTTTTAAGCAGGCAGGGTGACTTTGGTGGTGACAACCATCCTAGCATATTTTCTTCTTGGACTTCTTTTGCAGTGAGCATTGCGTGGGACCTTGCTTGGGCTACTTCCAACCTCACTCAGACCTGCCCATGAAACCTTGAAACCTTGAAGCCCTAAACCCTAAACCCTAAACCCTAAAGAATCTGAGGCACTTCCTGGATCGACCAAGCGAACTCCACATCCCGGCTACAGACTGAGGTGTCCGGCTTCGGGGTTTTGGGGGTTTATAGGGTTGAGAGGGTCCTATAGGGTAGATAGGGTGTTTAGGGTTTCATATGGCTTTGTCGGGCTATATAGGGTATCTAGGGTATATGGGGTTTTAGAGGATTTATAGGCATATATAGGGTTTGTAGGGTTTATAGGGTTTATAGGGTTTATAGGGTTTATAGCGTTTATGGAGTTTATGGGGTTTATGGGGTTTATGGGGTTTATGGGGTGTATAGGGTTCGTAGGGTGTTTAGTATAGGGTTTGGGTTTGCAGGGTTCATAGGGTTTAGGGGTTATAGAGTCTTATAGTGTGTATAGAGTTTTATAAGGTTTGTAGGGTCTATAGTGTTTGGTTTTTTTAGGGTTTGGGGTTGAAGGGTTGAAGGGTTTGGGGTTTACAGGATTTAGGCGCTAAGGGTTCAGGGTTTGGGGTGTAGGATCGAACTTTGACAGACCATGATGTTAAGGTTGCCTGAAAACAGGGCCCCTCATCTGTCACGAGCCCCATTTTCCCCAGAGAGGCCCTGAACCAGGGGTTTAGGGTTTAGGGTTTAGGGTTTAGCGTTCGGGTTTAGGGTTTAGATTTTAGGGTTTAGGGTTTAGGTTTAGGGTTCAGGGTTAAGGGTTTAGGGTTTACAACCACGTTGCCTTGAACCAGGGGCGACTATAAGTAGCTAAGGCAAGGCCCCCTTTTTTCGTAAGGTGTGTTATTCCGCTGTTTCATAGGCCACCCCCTCTGCCGTGAGTAGACTTCAACAGCTCTGTCCGCATGAGTTTGGTGCTTCATGTGTTCCTAACCCTAAACCCTAAACCCTGGGTAGAAATCCTAAACCCTAAGCCCTGAACCCTGGTGGAAATGACTCCTAAAAATCCAAACCCTAAACCCTAAACCCTAAACCCTAAACCCTAAACCCTAAACCCTAAACCCTAAACCCTAAACCCTAAACTCTGAACCGCCCGGAAGATGGGCGTGTACCACTTGGAGTACCACGAAACCCACGGCTGGCCGGCCTGGGCCTACGACAATCCGTGGCCCTCGCGCGTGGCTCGTTGGCAGCCCCTTTCTAGGGCTAGGGGTTTGGGGTTTAGGGTTGCCCTGCCCTAAACTCTAAACCCTAAACCCTTAACCCTAAACAATAAACCCTGGACCCTACAGGGTATATGGCAGCGCCTAGGTCTCCCAAGGTGATCTGGGAAGGTCCGGCCAGCTAGGGTAGGACTTGCATGGAGGCACCTGGGTAGGGTTTAGGCTTAAGGGTTTCGTCTTTAGGGTAGATATATATATATATATATAATGCCTTAGGGCATGCAAGGGATATAGAAGGGACCATGTAACTACCCTTGGAGGGTAGGTCGTAATCAGAGGGTAGTTAGAAAAAGGGCCTAGAAGTGTTGACCATGTCTGCGACAGGCTATGCGACTCATTCACACCTCATCCTACTTTTAACTACCTCCATGAACCATTATTTTGGTTAAGAACCCCCCCCAAAAAAAAAAGTAATAATCCCTAGATTTCCCTTATAAGGAAGAATAGTTTTTTTTTTGGGGGGGGGAGGTTCTTAAGCAATTCGTAGTGGACCTTATAGTTGGGACATCATGGCAGTTCTACCAGCTCTTAGCAGTTGCGAATCCTGCGCTGCAGGGATAGGCTTGTGCACCAGGTCCTTTTGCCCCCTTAGGAAGTGTTTTTTTATTCTTATGTGTACCGACCCAAGGTTCTTACTCAGGGGGAGTTGTAGGGTCAGGTGACCACTTCTCAGACGTAAGGACAAGTTGATGGAGCACTTCCAGGACGTTTCTGAGCGCTACGGGATTCTGCCCTACGTGCGCCTGAACACCTCCGCCAACACACTGAACGTCGTGGGTGGCTCGGCCTGAAAAGGCTGGGTTTCAGGCCCCTGAAGCTCTCCGTGTCAGTGGTACCTAAGGAAAGGAGTATTGGTCGCAGAGCTACGAGGTCACGTTGAAGACGAAAGGAAAGGAGGAGGAAGTCTTCAAGGCCGCTTCGGTGAGCCTCTTCCCTGGCAACCTCACGAACCCCAAGCGCGTCACCTATCCGGGGGAGGACACCTTCCTTGGAGATATCGTTCCTTGCCTACAGAAGAGTCGTTCTTAGAGGGGGGTTCCGGAAATTTTGGGGTCCCTTTTTGGATATTAGGGGGAATCAAGGGGGCGTACTTTCCCTAAACCCTCAACCCTAAACCCTAAACCGTAAACCCGCTGCATCGGCTTGGCTGTCTTGTCAGGTGTATGGCATCAGCAACAATTTCGACTACGCGAAGGTATGTGACAACAATGTCATGATCGTCGGCAGCGGCGCCTTCGCTGTTGAGAACGTACGAACTTGCGTGGAGTTCCGCGCAAAGAAGGTGTACCCGGGCCTGAGGGGGAAGGTTCCTGATGTGACTGTCACTTGATGTTGGTGCACAAGTGGCGGGTGCATATTCTGTAGATAGGGGGTCAGACATATGGAAAGGTACATGGTGTGCCGCCGGAAGACAATCTCCATGCCACGATTGACCTCCTGGTTCATCAATCAGGTGGGATGCAGCATCACGGGAGAACTTGCTTTGGTGCGGGCAGTTGTAAGGGGTCCATGTTCCCTTGGAGCGGGATATAGAGAGAGTTGAAGGGGGGTTCTGGGTTTAGGGTCCCGGGTCCCGCAGAATAAGCACCCTAATTTCAAAACCCTAAACCCCAAACCCCAAACCCCAAACCCCAAACCCCAAACCCCAAACCCCAAACCCCAAACCCTAAACCCTAAACCCTAGGCATCAGGGTGCATGAGTGAGCCACCTGCGTGTCTTCCCGGCCAGTCCCTCGAAGCCATCTCCGCCAGACTCACCCTGGAGTCGATGACGCCGATGTATGACCGAGCTGCGGGGGACATTAGGTGCTAGTGACTAGTGGTCCAGAGCCCTTAGTGCCACTTGAGAGGCGAGAGTCACATTTCATGCCACATCTGCGCTGCACGAGCCGATAAGGGCCTGTCAAGACATCGAGATCTACTCTGTGTTGCGGTTTAGGGTTTAGGGTTTAGGGTTTAGGGTTTAGGGTTTAGGGTTTAGGGTTTAGGGTTTAGGGTTTAGGGTTTAGGGTTTAGGGTTTAGGGTTTAGGGTTTAGGGTTTAGGGTTTAGGGTTTAGGGTTTAGGGTTTAGGGTTGCGCAGGACCTCATTGGCGTGGATCAGTGGTCCTACTACAGTGTCATCACCAACGAGGCAAGGACCAACGTCACCATCAAGCAGAAGGCCCGGTTCGGCATCGGAGACGTCTATTTCCTGGCCATGGCGTGCGGGTACTGCGAGCACATCGTCGACGACACCAAGAGGGTCACTTACTTCGCCAACACTTGAACTTCAATCTTTTTTGGGCTTCCTTACTCATAAGGAAAGTAAGATTTAAACATTTGTCCCCTTGGTTGCAGGAACATAAAGTTTAACCACTTCCCTTTGCTATTGGAGAAGTAAGGTTAGCGGCAGCACGGTTCATCTCGTCAGCGGCCGGAAGCTCGAGGAAGTAGGATCCATCCTGAAGCTGTGCGGCTTCAATGGCGAGCACCTCGAAGCGAGGGTTCAGGGTTTAGGGTGTAGGGTTTAGGGTTTAGGGTTTAGGGTTTAGGGTTTAGGGTTTAGGGTTTAGGGTTTAGGGTTTAGGGTTTCGGGCAGATTTTTTAACAAGATGAGTCTTACCCAAAATAGGGGGCTACCCCCTTTTATACCCCAAGTAGAATAGAATCCCCTTACAAGGGTACCCCCAAAATCGGAACCCCCCCCCCCCTAGTTTGGGCCTTCTGGTTGCGTTTCCGGGTTTAGGATTTCGTGGGTTTCGCGGTGTTTTGCCACATGCCACATGCAGCCGAGATTCGCGAACGACCGGCTCCTCAAGATCAAAGAGCTCTATGGCTGGTGGGTGAATAGGGAGCCTTGGCCGAGATTTTACCCTGAACCCTAAACCCTAAACCCTAAACCCTAAACCGCTAAGGGTAGTTGCATGGCCCCTCAATGTGGGCGTGCCCCTCATGTACCCTATAAACACCCAGGGCTCCATGCTTCAGAACCCTTTAAAAGAAGCGCAAGTAGGGCGTCGCGACTGGGGAGTCCAACAGCCATGGGGTCAAAAACCTGTTCACTGGTAGTGATCACTCCGGTTCTAGGAAGGGTAGCTATTACCCTAAAGCCAAAGTGATATCTGGTTAGGCGCTTGCTGTCACTTGCTATGCTTAGAGGTACTTGATGACCCTACTGAAAAGCAAGCCATGAACCTTCAAGTAGACCATAAACCTGAAATTCTGTAGACCCTAGATCCCAGAGGCTCATGATCCCCCTAAGGCCCAGATTTGAACGCTACACGGGGAGGGGAGGAGGAGGGGGGGGAGGAGGAGGGGGAATGGGGGAGGGGGGAATGGGGAGGGGGGAATGGCCTTCATATCGTTTCTTGTGGTGGAGTGGAGATATTGGTGGTAGGGCTTAGGGCACCATGACCTACAAAAAGCAACGTGCACCCTGAATCGTTTAATCCGAGACTCTTCTGAAAAGAGAACCTGCCGGTGGCCTGCAACGCAGTCACAGAACGCCCCTCAACCCTAAACCCTAAACCCTAAACCCTAAACCCTAAACCCTAAACCCTTGTCTTATTCCTGAGGACTACCGTCGATACATTGTTGCGGAGCCGATCTTTGTGCTTGGGTCTAAACTCATCTGGGCATTTTGCTTACTCTTCATGTACCTCAGGTTTAGGGTTTCGGGTTTAGGGTTTAGGGCTACGAAAGTCCACATTGTACGAGCCACCCCAGAAAGACTACCTCATGAAAATATGAAGCTTGTGCTGGATTGCCCTTCAGTTTTAGGGTTTAGGGACGAGGTTGTAGGGTCTCTATATGGGAGTTTACGAAAACAATATTGACCCACCAATAGTAGGCTCCCCTGCTAAGAAGGACCCCGAGAAAGTACACCGAATATCGTAAATCCCCATTTCGGGTTGAGAAACCTTAAGGTAGCCTGGAGCAACAAAAGCATTTAGAGTTTCCTGACAGATGTGGGGTTTCGGGGCGTCCAAGAACTTGTCGTACCCTTGATCTCGAAAGATATTTTCCCAAGTCTCGCATTGCAGCTTGTGTAAATGCTGTCGGTGTTGGGCAGGGGTTCGTGGCTGTTGCTGCTGAGGAAGGCTCCAGATCAAACAGACACGGCTGCCCCTCCTGCCAAGAATGTAGCCGGCTGTTCGCCCCTAAACCCTAAACCCTAACCCTAAACCCTACACCCTAAACCCGAAACCCTAAACCCTAGACCCTAAACCCTAAACCCTAAACCCTGAACCCTAAACCCTAAACCCTAAACCCTAAACCCTGAACCCTAAACCCTAAACCCTAAACCCTAAACCCTACATGACTCCCCAGCCCCAAGTCCAAGACCCAACTATCTTGAATCCTAGACTCCCAGATCCAACGCGCCCAAACTTCCCACTTGAAACTACCCTAGACCTTAACCGTAAACCCTAAACCGTAAACCCTAAACCCTAAACCCTAAACCCTAAACCCTAAACCCTAAACCCTAAACCCTAAACCCTAAACCCTAAACCCTAACCTTAAACCTTAAACCCTAACCACCCTAACCACCCTATGCCCTAAACAACCTGCTGGAGCCTTGCCTTCTGCCGCTAGCGTGAGAGTCGAAACAGCCCTGAACCCCAAACTTTAGCTAGTCCCTCAACTACCCTAAACCCTAAACCCTAAACCCTAAACCCCAAAACCCTAAACCCTAAACCCTAAACCCTAAACCCTAAACCCTAAACCCTAAACCCTAAACCCTCGCTTCCACCCAAGGTGGATGCTGGCAACTTCGGCTCCACGAGCTTCTCCCCCGGCGCCATATCTTGGACTGAGACACAGGCTGGGGTCGAGGGCCTATAGGGTTCTGGGGTTCTTGGGGGGGGGGTGGTGTTGGGTTTTGGGTTTAGGGTTTAGGGTTTAGGGTTTAGGGTTTAGGGTTTAGGGTTTAGGGTTTAGAGTTTAGAGTTTTGGGTTTTGGGTTTTGGGTTTTGGTTTAGGGTTTAGGGTTTAGGGTTTGGATGTCCGGAGAAGGGGGCACATGAGGTTGTGGCAACACATCATTTAACCCTAAGTTCTCAACCCGACGCCGGAAACCAAAACCTTGAAACCCCTTTGAAACGCTGAGCCCAAGCAGAGCTCAACAGGCCCATCTACTCATGCCTAAAAGAAATTAAAAAACCCGAACACAACCCTTGAAACTCCCTACTTGAAGGTTCATGGGTAGTTGTGAGTAAGGTTCGAAGTAGCCTCAAAAAGGCTATAAGCATAGTTGCCATAATTGTAACCCTACTCATAGCTGCCCATGAACCTTCAAGTAGGAGCCCTGGGCCCAAGCAGAGCTCGCCATGCCCACCTGCTCATGCCAAAAATAACCCTAAACCCTTGAACCCTTGAACCCGTGAACCCTTGAACCCCTGAACTCCTCAACCCCTAAACCCTAAACCCTAAACCCGAAACCCCTAAACCCTGAACCCTTGAACCCTGAGCCCAAGCAGAGCTCGAGAGGCCCACCTGCTCATGTATCCGAAAGATTGGGAGCCGCTCTGGGACTCGAACTGCTTCCCAGTGCACGAGGTGGGTGTAGGGTTTAGGGTTTAGGGTTTGGGGTTTAGGGTTTAGGGTTTAGGGTTTTGGGTTTAGGGTTTTGGGTTCAGCGTTTAGAGGGGTCAGGGTTTAGGGTCTGGGTTTCAGGTTTACGTCTCCATAGATTTTAGGGTTTGGGGTTCGGGGTGTAGGGGGTTTTGAGGGGTTTTAGGAGGGGGTGGAGAGTCTGGGCTCCATCAATCAAGGTTTGTGGCCTAAACCCTGAACCCTAAACCTAAACCGCAAAAGGCTATTTACACGTACTCGCTTTATCTCGCGTCGCTCGGTTTTCTCACGCATCGATCGGCGTCCACATTGGGGAACTGCCTTTCCCAGAGTATATCTGTCGAAGTCGGCCTCGTTGTCATCGATCGGCGTCTACGTTGGGAACTGCGTTGCCCAAAGTGTATCTCTTGCTGTGTCGGAGTCGGCCTCGTGCAGGCTTCTACATGTCTTCGGGAGTTGAACTTAAGTAACGGAGGTAGCTGGGGGTGGTTTCGGTCACCCTGATCGTCGCCGGGACAACTCGACCAACCCCCGGCAGTTTGAACCGAATTAGAGCTCCCTGAGCTACATATTTGTCGAGCGTCTACATGGTGATTAGCTTTTGAAACATGGTCTATATACGGTAAAAATGTGCTAAAGCGCTGGCGTCCGCGGCAAATCCGGCAGCTTGACCCATGTGGGCTGTTTGCCTAAATTTCAGCGTCTGCTTGGGGATTGCTTTGACCTGATGTGTAATTCCTCCGCTGATGTGTCTTCCTGCTATGTAGCGTCCACAATGGGGTGCTGTGTATTCTTGCGGCCTGATGTGAGATAAGCCTGCCACTTGTGGGGTTTAGGGTATGAGGTGCCCACGAGGTTGGGTTTGGGTTCGAGGTGGAGGGCTCCGGGTTTTGTAGGGCGGCCTGGGTTTGGGACATTTTGGGATTCAGGACCTTGAGCTCCTAAACCCTCAAGCCTAAACTGTGTGCAGGAGGGGAATAAACCCCAGACCCTGTTGAAAATAGGTTCGCAGGGGTTGATCCGAGGTTTTCAGTCTTAAAGCTTTCGGGGTGTGAGGGTTGATATCTCAACGGAAGCTGAAGTTCCTTCATTCCTGCATTCCCTACAAGACCCAGTAGGTTTAAGGTTTAGGCCTAAACGCGTGCTGGTGGTGTGGGCCCTGAGGGCCGAACCCACTGGGGCTTTCGGGTGTAAGGGCTAGGGTCCAGGGTCTAGGGTTTAGGGTTTAGGGTCTAGGGTTTAGGCTTTAGGGTTTAGGGTGACTGGGAAGGCAGATGAGGAGAACAACCGGCCAGCCTACGTTGTGGAGGCCCGGCGTGCAGCTGGCTGTGCAGCCTGATCAGTGGGCAATTAAGATGGGCCATACCGAATTTCAATATCCTTTCCGCAACTGGGGTCAAGGAATTTCATCACCGGAGGGTCCTTCATCAGTGCATGCTTTAGCTCTGCACGAGTGCTTCAGGATAAGAAAAAACCTCTACTGCCCTCTATTGCTAAGGCAGGCTTCAAACGGCATCAGAATTTCGGAACGAGATCGACCCATCTTCATCGAACTGGATGCGAACTCTGGTAGGGCCCCTTCAGACCTAAGCTGCATCTGGCCCGATCCCAGAAAGCACCTGGATCCTGCACTCCGAGCCCTAAAACCCTAAACCCAAAACCCTTAACCCTTAACCTTAAACCCTTAAACCCTTAACCCTTGAACCCCAAAGCAGCTGCAGGCGCTTCATGGGTCACTGTGTGGCCTAACTTTGGGCGCTATGGTTCGAGGCAGGGAGGGTTTCGTACGATTCGAGTCCGCAGGCTTTTCTAAGGATCGTTTCATGGGCCCTTCATATGGCCCCCTGACCTCCCTGAAGGGGTTCTGAAGTACAGGCTCTTGGGTTGTATAGGGCATATGGGGGGTATATAAGCGGTCCCCTTTTAAGGGCCCACACTAAGGGACTGTGGAACTACCCTAAGAGCCTTGGAAGGCACGCTGACACAGTGTCTTCTGGCGAAGGGCCCATGTGTCGTTGAGATGGGCGGACAGTGCAAGGCTTCGCCGTTCATTTGCACTCTACGGGCACCTTGTTTGATGTGCAGGGTTCAGGTTTTCGCCTGCAAACTGCGCCCCACAGCAAGGCGGGGAGCAAAGAAAAGACCTAAATCCAAAAACCCTAAACCCTAAACCCTAAACCCTAAACCCTAAACCCTAAACCCTAAACCCTAAACCATTGACCTTACTGTAAAGCCATCTAACCATTCTCAACGGCAGCCTAGGGCTGCAAGCCCCAGGATGGGTCCCTGTGCCTAGGGTTTACGGTGCAGGTTTAGAGTTTAGGGTTTAGGGTTTTGGGTTTGTCGGGTTTAGGGTTTAGGGTTTAGGGTTTAGGGTTTAGGGTTTAGGGTTTACTTTCCCAGAGAGCCCGAGACCCCTTGATTGAGGCATGTGCCTCACATGATTCTCGGGGGCCTAGTATGAAGCAATGTCTCTTCCTGAATGAAGGCGTCTTGGGAGCTCTGGAGCAGGCAACAAGAACCTAAAACCCTAAGACCTGAGACCCTAAACCCTAAACCCTAAACCCTAAACCCTACACCCTACACCCTACACCCTACACCCTAAACCTCCTGCAGGCATCGCGGAACGCGGCGCGGTGACGGGCCCACTGAAGCGTCAACGACAGCTTGAGATCCACCCGCCTGAGCAGTTCTTGGCGTGCTGCGCCTCCGGCATGTAAGGGCAGTGGATGGTTGAGGGTTTATAGGGTTTAGGGGTTTGGGGTTAGGGGTTCTGCGACCAAGAGAAACCCAACCTCCAAACCTTCGTAGTAGAGTACGTAACTTTTTGGGGTATCACGACCCCGAGAGAATCCCAGAGGGTATCCTTCAGTTCCCCTAGGATACTGGGCAACTAACTCTGAACACTCACGGTTTATTTCCCGAAGTCTGACGCAGGTCAGAGTTCGAGGTTTTTCATGGGTACACAGTCCCACCAGAAAAACGAGGTACAAAAGTACCTTCATGGGAGTCAATAGCCATCCTGACATGGGGGTTTGTTTATGTTATGGTCTCTTTTGGTGACCTCTTTCTACTGCAGCCTGTGGTAAAAGGGACGTTAACAAAATTTATGGCAGGCAAGCGTGAATGGGACGACTGGAAGAAGACGATCACCGAGCTCGGGTACACAAATGCGCCAGAGTAGTCTTGAGCCATTTATGCGACGAAATTGCCCGAAGCTGCAGAAGCCAACTGCTTTTTGTGTCTTGCCAGGGTGCATTAAGTGCTTTCCAAGGTACCCTTACACGCTGGACATGGTGAAGGGTCTCATGAACCAGGAAATGGTGGAGCTAGCATCAAGACGCCGGTGAGTGAACTTGTGCGGGTCATTTCGACGATTGCCCACGTCACATGTGACGTGGGGCCGTCTTTGCATCTTCCCTAAGTTTCAGCAGTGTGAATCAGTCTCACAGTGCCCATCCAAGATGCCCAAGCTGTAATCCTTTTCACCGACCCAGTGCCAACACCAGACAGTCACCATCTGGCATCTTGCGTTGCAGCATGCGGCTCAACGGGTGGGAGGAAGTGGCTTCCTCTGAAAATTGAGTTGGTACAAGCATTCCGAACCATCCTTCCAACAACTTCTGTTCACAGAAGGGGATCTCAATTGGACAGAGCTGCCACGCGGGTTCAGCGACCGGGGTTTCGTCCCCAGGACGTGACACCATGGGCCGCCCCGCATAGAAAAAAGCATTCGTGCCCAGGGGCCCTGCTTGAATGTGCGCAACCATGTGGGGTGATGCAATGACGGTTCCACTCCTGTCCCAAGTTTGGTTTGCAGGATGATGCGCCTGGCCTGGGACACAACAGTTCGCTGGGTTGCTGATGTTCGAAGAGGGAATGCTCCCAAGCCAGAGCTGATGGATCCTTAGGATCATGCGCTCCTTCTGATTCGGTTTGCAGTCAGGCCGTGATTTGCCTCCTGGCGCGGACCACTTCCCCCCGCAACTGCTCTTCTTACACCAGGCCTGAATTCTTGAAGGCTTGGGCTTTGGACTTTCATTTTGCAGCTGGCAACCTGGCAGGGTCAGAAGGAGCCAAAAGAGTTGCGGCCTGGCGCTTAACATGGCGTTAAGTTTTGTTGGAAGGTAGGGGGAGAGGGGGGGGGGGGCAGGGCGGGCAGAAAAAATGCCGCTGCTGCAAGCCATGGCATGCTGTGCCCAGGTGGCATCCTCAACTCCCAAGTGTGTGCATCGTGACCGCCGCCAGCGACTTGACAGCAGATCTTGGCGAAGTTGCGCCATCAACGGGCATTGGTGAAACACCCTAAACCGTAAACCCTAACCCTAAACCCTAAACCCTAAACCCTAAACCCTAAACGGGCCATGGTGAGGGCTTGTTCATGGTGGCAGCCAAGGTGGGTTCAACATTTTCAAGACGTGCCGCTTGTCTCATTTCTTTCGCATTGTGGGTGTTGGCGACGCTGCGTCTGACTGTGACACCAAGGCAACATTTAGCGGCTTTGGTCTTGAGGTGAGATGAGCTGTGGGCGCGATTGTTTTGACATGTGCAAAGAAGGAACATAAAGGCACACAACAAACAAAAGTTGCTGCAGGACATCATGCCACGCAAAAAGTCGTGCCAATAAACCGGCAGACGCTTCAAGACTGGTTGCTGTGCGAGAATGAAGAAGACTCCCATGCAGGATGTGGAGTAGTGCGGACTGACAGTGCCATGCCACGTGGTTGGCGATGTGGGGCAGTGCTGATTAATTTGTCTAAGTTTAAGTATCTGCCGCGAACAGGATTAGTTGACTGGAATGCCGACGTGTTTTCTCGAGTTGTGAGCCCGTCGCTGAATTGTTGCTCGGTTTTTTGAAGGAAGGGCGGGCAGGCCCTCACCCGGGATCATGTTGTCGTAAAAGCTACCAACAGCAATACAGATCAGCAGTACTCCTTCAACTTCCCAACCGAGCGCAGCAAGGGGGGGGGGGGGGGGGGGGGGGGCGGGCAGAAAAATGCCACTTCAACCCTCGGCGAAGTCCAGCCAATCCCCCTGGCATGCTATAGGTGCATGTGCCCAGCTGAGAAGCCCAAGTGCGTGCATTGTGACCGCCGCCAGCGATTTGACAGCAGCGCTTGGAGAAGTTGCACCATCAACGGGCCGTAGTGTGGCTTGTTCATGGAAGGTGGGTTCAACACTGTCAAAATCCCAGTGTGGGTGTTGGGTGGCGACGGCTGGCTGTGACACCAAGGCAACACGTAACTGCTTTGGTTTTTGAGGTGAGATGAGTTGTGGGCGCGATTGTTTTGCCATGTTCATCGAACAATACTTGGATTACGTTTTGCACAAAAAGGAACATAGGCAAACAATCAAGAACTGCTGCAGGATTTCACGTCATGCCCCGCGATCATGTTGTCGTAAATGCGACCAGCACCAATTCAGATCAGCAGTATTCCCTCAACTTCCGAACCCCGCTCCCCAAGCGGCATGGGCCTTAACTTCTTTGGTTTGGAGTGCAGCAGGTGGGGGGGGGGGGGGGGGGGGGGGGGGGGGCGGGCAGAAAAATGCCACTTCAACCCTCGGCACAGCGGGTGTTGGGTGGCGATGGCTGGCTGTGACACCAAGGCAACATTTAAACGGCTTTGGTCTTGAGGTGAGAGGAGCTGTGGGCGCGATTGTTTTGAAATGTTCATCGAACAATACTTGTGCACGTTTTGCAAGGAAAGAACCGGCAAGCGTTTCAAGACTGGTCGCTGTGTTTCGCTGTGCCAGGATAAAGAAGACTTCCATGCAAGATGTAGAGTAGCGCGGACTGACAGTGCCATGCCATGTGTTTGGCGATGTGGGGCGGTGCTGATTCATTTGTCTAAGTATCTGCCGGCAGCGAGACCAACTGACTGGAATGCCAGCGTGTTTTCTCGAGATGTGAGCCCGTCGCTGAATTTTTGCTCGGCTTTTTGAGGGGGCGGGCAGGCCCTCACCCGGGATCATGTTGTCGTAAATGCGACCAGCACCAATTCAGATCAGCAGTATTCCCTCAACTTCCGAACCCCGCTCCCCAAGCGGCATGGGCCTTAACTTCTTTGGTTTGGAGTGCAGCAGGTGGGGGGGGGGGGGGGGGGGGGGGCAGGGCGGGCAGAAAAATGCCACTTCAACCCTCGGCGAAGTCCAGCCAATCCCCCTGGCATGCTATATGGTGCATGTGCCCAGCTGAGAAGCCCAAGTGCGTGCATTGTGACCGCCGCCAGCGATTTGACAGCAGCGCTTGTCGAAGTTGCGCCATCAACGGGTCATAACTGTGTGGCTTGTTCATGAAAGGTGGGTTCAGCACTCTCGAAATCCCAGTGTGGGTGTTGGGTGGCGATGGCTGGCTGTGACACCAAGGCAACATTTAAACGGCTTTGGTCTTGAGGTGAGAGGAGCTGTGGGCGCGATTGTTTTGAAATGTTCATCGAACAATGCTTGTGCACGTTTTGCAAAGAAAGAACATACTTCTGAGGGCGGGGCGAAAACAAACACGCAAACGGACACCGGCTGCAGACCATAGACTGGCAACCCTACTTCTGAGGGCGGCGCACAGCAAATCACATAAAGCTTAGCCGGCGTCGGGCTCGCTGCCCATTGGCAGGAGGCACGGGAAACTTGCAGCTGGACGGTAGCCCGAGACAAAAGTCGACGAAGGCGGCTCGGTAGGCGGTGCTCAGACCGACCAAGAGGAGGAATGACTCACTCACCCAAGCGGAGGCGGACCAGAGGAGCTGGCTGGACGTGGAGGCGGATTGAGGCAGTAGAACCCAGAACCAGTTTTGCTCCAAGGCCAGGTCAGGCATCATGTGAGCAAGAGAGGCAAGGCGCATGCAGCATCCAATTCAGCACGCCGCCTCAGTGCAGCCCGGGCGCGGAAAGAGCGCACAACAACACGAAACATAGGCACACCATCAAGAACTGCTTCCGGGTTTCATGTCATGCAAAAGTCGTGCCAATAAACCGGCAGACGCTTCAAGACTGGTCGCTGTGTTTCGCTGTGCCATGCAAGATGTAGAGTAGCGCGGACTGACAGTGCCATACCACGTGTTTGGCGATGTGGGGCGGTGTGATTAATGTATCTAGGCAGCTGCCGGCAGCGAGACCAACTGACTGGAATGCCGACGTGTTTTCTCGAAATGTGAGCCCGTCGCAGAATTTTTGCTCGGCTTTTTGAGGGAAGGGCGGGCAGGCCCTTAACGGGATCATGTTGTCGCATAAGCAACCGGCAGCAATACAGATCAGCAGTACTCCCTCAACTTCCGAACCCCAGCCCCTCTAAGACCCAAACCCCAAACCCTAAGCCCTAAGCCCTAAACTCTAACCCTAAACCCTAAACCCTAAACCCTCCTCAACACGTGGTTGGCCCTTGCCCTGAAAAACCCATCCTGGCAGCATGCCCTCAGCTGCTGCCGCTCGGGGCTCAGAGATTTCAGGGTTTAGGGTTTAGGGTATAGGGCCCAGTTTGGGGATTTGGGGTTTCGGGTTTAGGGTGTAGGGTTTAGGGTTTAGGATAAAGGGGTAAGGGCTCAGGGTTCAGGGTTTGGGGTTTTGAGGGTTCAGGGTCTTCCGACGGACTTGACGGTGGTATCAATATAGGGTCCTAAGGGTCATTAGCATGCTTTGGCCGTTGTTGGTTTACGAACGGATCAGGGTTCCGGGTTGATGTGGGCAAGTGCCGCGGGAGCTTTTTGGGCTTAGGTTTAGGTTTTAG